ATAAAGCAAATGATAGCTGAAATAAAATAAAGATCTGTTAATTCTCTGCGTTTCAAAAGAACTAATATATACTAGCATGCATTTCTACATGAACATAACAATCATCTCCGATGGGATATAATACACTTCATCACCTAACTTTAACCACAGCAACTCATACTATCACCAACACAATCACAAAAATAAGATTCCTCTTCTGTTCTGTTGAGCTTAGTCAAATACTTTGCTTTTGCCAAGACATCCCTAGAGCCTGGTCTATTTTCAGAAGACCACATCTGCAAGCCTTCATAGCGTCCATATAAATACTTCTGCTTGCTAATGTGTTAATTAAGATCTACATTACATTAGCCACATAACTACTTAATTAGATTAATCCACCTGGAAAATGATGGCATGTCTTGATTAAATTGAATGAAGGTAACAGAAGTGACATTTAAAATACATTGATTGTTATTACATTTTGATCATCTGTCTCAAAGTGTCTGGAAGGAAACAGTAGAAACCAAAAGACTCATGTTGCTCACATTGTTGATGAGGTACGAGTTTTTCATCTTTTTATCCTTTGTAACATGACAAAGAGTTCTCTCCAGTTGCTCCCAAATCCTTACACTTGTCTGATAACCAGGATTAGGTTTCAGCAAGAACACAGCTGGGGGTGGCACCAGTGTCTCAGGCAGTCAAATCAGGGCCTGTTCTATTTGCACCTGAACTCCAACTCATCAATACATAAAGGTGGCAAACCTTCCCATTTAATCATTTTGTTATTTCTTTAGCATTGCCTATCTGCTGCATTGCTAATGAAATAACTATTAGAAAATCATCACTTCTGTGTGCAAACCAAAAGGTGACCCTGAGCTGCAAGTATCTGGCAGAGGTCACAGAATCATTTGGAGAGAGCTGAAGACAAACTAGCCAGCTTCACAATGACAGCCCAGTTTAGCTTTCCATATCTATTCAAGGCAAATTTCCCCTCTCTCATCTCAAGCAAGTAAGATAACTAAGTAAGCTAAATTTAACAGCAAATATAACTTTCTTCGTTTCCTTATTGCTATTGTATTTACAATGCTGAATTTGATAACTGGAAACAAGCTTATTTTGTTAACTGGAAACAAGTATTTTTTTATGACACTTCAATACTTTACCATTTAATTAAGTCTGTCGTTTTGCAATGCACACGCTGTGGCAGACGCAGGGAAATGTCTCCTAAGCAGAGTGCGAACCTGGCTCAAGCTGGCTGGTCCAAAGAGACACAGACCCTGGCTTATGTGAGTATCAGAACACAAATTCAAATCTACCTTTTCCAATTAGTCGTTACATTCATGGTAACTGAAGTGATCTTTCAGGCCCGCAATAATTTTTGGTATCTTTTAAAATGTGGATTTCTAGGATCAGAAACCAAAATCTCTTACTGCTCTATAGACTCTTATTATAGCAAATAATCAAGAGAAAAAATAGTAAGTAAATTTTGAATTATTAGGAAATCTGTTAGATTTGTGAGCACACCAAGGACAATATGTCATAAAGAAAAAAACTACACCAAAGCATTCTTTACTTGCAAATGCAGCTGGAGTTAGTTTGAATATTTCTACATAAATGGTAGTTTATCCTGGGTGTCCTCTGAGATGATTAAAACTGACTTTTGTAGTATATGCTGTCAATTAGAAAGGAAACAGCAAATAAATAGTCACATATTTTATGGAAATGTGGTCTGCCTACTACATAACTTTAAATGTAAATACATTTTTGGCATAGATTAAAAGAATTTAGGTATAGAAAATTCCCATAAGGTCATCTAATTCACTTCCTTGTGAAGCAGCAGTTATTCCCAAACATGCCTTTTTTTTTCTAGTTCTTCCTATACCTTCTCCTAATTTAGATTTATTACACAAAAATTCTAACATTATGTCTGTAGCAGACAAATGGGCTTCACTCTCAAAGTTTTTTAAACGTCATATCTATCTATCTATCTATCTATCTATCTATCTATCTATCTATCTATCTATCTATCTATCTATCTATCTATCTATCTATCTAATGCCTGTAGCGATTCCACAATTCCATGGCAGTGGCAGCTTTTTGCTTTTATGTACTAGGAAGGGAAACTGCTTTGTCATTTGCACTAAGAAAGGAATTTTTCTTTAGTTCTGTCTCTTAATGTAAATCCCTAGCTCAGCACAACTTCCAGAGCATGGGGGACTTCACTTGCAGTTTTACAGCAGCACTGAGGATGTTTTTACCCACTGCACTTGCCTGCTCTTTTCAGACATCCCCAGTATTAGCGAGATGGAGTGTGTAATTACAAAAGCCCTGCGACTGTGTTATCTCAACAGTGAATTTTGTTTTCATTCAGATAGGAAAATGCAGTAATAAAGTAATTTACATTCCTCTTAAATTGCAGTTTTCTTATTTCATACTAGAATGTAGTCTCCTAATAAGGAACAAACAGATCAAATTGAAATATCTGCTTTCCCCCCAACCCCCCCTTTCAAACTGCTCTGCTTTAAAATACCTTGCTTGCTTGCTGAGTAGGCACAGCTTGTGTTTAAGTGGCCGTTCTCAGTCTAGGGGTTAAAGGTTTCTTTGGGAGACCCATGTTTTGAAAAGAATGGCTTCATCCTGAGTTGTGTCAATTATAGAAAGGTCATTCTGCACAGCCAGAGCCCTGAGCCCTGAAATGCTTGTTGTGTTAAAAGCTGTCAGAGGCTTTCCTAAAAACTGCTGGGATAGCAATATTAACTCGGACATAATAAAAGGAAAGGTGAGGTAGAAAAACTTTTCACCCTTCCCTGCTATGAGAATTTGTCTTTCAGATATTCCTTGAGTTCATCCAAACCTATCAGTCATATTATTCCACTGTGGAAGATTCCTTGCCTAAATATTATTCTCCCTCCTTCCCCCAGATTATCAACATTTCAGCAACCTTCTATAAAATGTCAGAAGAACAAGCACACTTTTCCAGCATGCTCATAGAAAAGCTGGCTACAGCAACCGCAGACAGAACTACCAGTTCTGTTTCCTTGTCTCCTCTACAGGAGGTTACCACTCCCCAAAACAGCCTGCATCTTGGCCTCTTCAAATGTGCAAAGCTCATTAGAGTGGGCCTGGGATGAGCTGCCAGGATTTGCACTGAAGTGCCCCAGGCAGATGAGCACATTCCAATTCAACAATCCTGCTGCCCTATATTTGCACAGAGATGGCAACAAAAAGCTGCAGGGGAGGGAATTTGGAAACGTGTTAAGCACTGCAGTTGTCTGCTAAGTGACCATAATTGCAGACCTGAGCTCTTCAGGTTCCTGCCTAAAACCATAGGGTCTCTCACCTGTGCTCGATCTGGAAGTTCGGCAGTGATATAAGCATTCTACCTTGTACTTGGGACTGGGCTGTTCGTCCAGTTTGACCTACAGTCAGACAGCGAGGAAAGCCAAGCCAAGGAACATCTGTCTGAAACGCTATGCGGTTTTGCCACCACTAGGATGCAGGATTGCATGAAAAGAGGGAAGCCAGAATTAGCCCCCCCCCCCCCCCCCCGGAAAATGTAAAGAAGCTGAGGTGCAGCGGCATCATTTATTAAAAACACAAGCAAACCCATAAAATGACTGGGCATACCAAAGAACAAGCCAGCTTCCTTCCCCAGCTCTGCTTTAACTGTTTTTTTTCCCAATACATCCAATGCAAGTATCCTGTGTCAGAATTTGTTTCTAATGTTTGCTACAGCAATCAGCAGTTGAACACCAGCCACAGGTCCTGAGAGCCAGACAATGCTCAGCTCTGCACAAAACTCTTCTGTTGACCAGTAGCAAGTGCTCTTGTTTCTTCTGTTCCAGTCACCCTGTCCCACCTTCACAGTGCACTAGGACCTGTGAGGTGCTTTGATTAATTAAAAAGTTCTGGTCTGTCTTATCATAATTTGTGTAATAACCAGGGAAAGCCTTATCGTGATGCAGGAAAGAAACCCCTGAACCTCACAAGTCACAAGCATTCAATTTAAATGATTAAAATCCTTCTCATGATATGCATTTTCTCTCTATGTTTAATACATGCTCTCTCAATTTAAGAAATCATTGATGTTTCTAGAGTTACCCCTCATTCTTCTCATTTCCCTGTCTCCGCCATCCTCCACAGGAACACAGTTTTTCTTTAGGAGAAAAAGAAACCATTTGTTGCCAACATTGCATACACTAAAGCAGATTATTCACTATGGGTGAAATTATTCTGTCCTTGATCCTTGATGCTTTCTGTTAGAATTACATCTGAGAACGAAGAAAAACCAGGAATTTGGTCCTGGCTGGAAGCAGTACAATGTACCCCTCCTACTGAGTCAAGCTTTTTCTCTGAGCTCTCTAAGCTATACCTGGAAAGAGGACATACAGCCAGTAAAACATATGGGTTTGGACTGATCACTTCATTGAAGTGTCTGAGGGAGCTCATCTGCATTAGTAGATGAGGATCTAGGAACTGAGTGATTTTCATAGAGTCCCAGACTAGTTTGTGTTGGGAGGGAGCTTAAAGCTCATCCAGCTCCCTTGCCATAGGTAGGGACCCCTTCCACTGGAGCAGCTTGCTCCAAGCCCCTGTGTCCAACCTGGCCTTGAACACTGCCAGGGATGGGGCAGCCACAGCTTCTCTGGGCACCCTGTGCCAGGGCCTCAGCACCCTCCCAGGGAAGAGCTTCTGCCTAAGAGCTCATCTCAGTCTCCCCTCTGGCAGGTTAAAGCCATTCCCCTTGGCCTGTCCCTATAGGCCCTTGTCCAAAGCCCCTCTCCGGGTTTCCTGAAGCCCCTTCAGGTACTGGAGCAGCTCTAAGGCCTCCCTGGAGCCCTCTCTTCGGCAGGCGGGACGATTTTGCGCACTAGCGCAGCGGGCGGGAGCAGGAACAGCCGTGCGCGGGGAGCGCTCCGGCCCCGAGCGCAGGGAGCACCAGCAGTGGCCGAAGCCGGCGCTGACCCCGCACCCGCGGGTGCCGCCCACTGCGGGGCCGGGCGCGGGAGCCGCAGCCTCACCTCTGCCTCCAGGTGGCGCCGCCGCCCCGTCCTCGGCGCCCGCGCGGCCGGGCCGCCGCCCGTTGCTGAGGGTGGGTCCGTCCGCCGGGCGCAGCCGCCAGTTGAGCCCCAGGAGGTGCATGGCTGCGGGGACAAACCGACAGTCAGTGCGAGAGCAGCGCAGAGCAGCGCGGCGGCGGGGGCTGCCCCCTGCACCGCTCCGGACCGCGCCGTCGGGCAGCAGCCCCGTAGGAGCGTGAAGGAGGCGACACCCCCCGCCCCACGCGAGCCCCGCTGGCTCGCACACATCTGCTTTCTGTTCACTTCAGTTCTCGATCTTTAAAACTGCTGAGACACAAAGGGACAGCGCGCACGGCCGCGTGTAAACTGAGCAGAGCGTTCTGCTCAGAGCACAGCATCCCGCACAACCGTCCCGGCTCACACGCTCCAGGGGGACGCGTTCCTGGAAACAAAGCACCACTGCAAATACCAGTTCGAGTTGAAATTACAGGCGATAATTTATACGTTGATTATAAAATTAGCTTTAGCCCGATGTATGCTAATGACATTGTAATGCAATTACTTTGTGTTTATTACAACTTATTTAAATCAACAGATTTAACAGCCTCTGTCTTCATTCTGCAGATTAAGCTTTCCCAACAAGCCCAGGCCTTTGCCAATCCTTTGACCTCACGGGTTGTTCTAACCCCGTGTATGCCCAGCCAGGAGGTTTCCCAGCTCACAGAGCTGGCTGGTGTAGCACTGTGCCATGGGCCCCAGGCACACCTAAGAGATGGAGCAGGAGAAAGGCCATGGCACCACTGCCACCAGCGCGTGAGTGATGGGTGCTGTGGTAGGGGCTAATTGAATAAGTCCTGTGCATAATGCATGAGACTCGACAGGTCTGAATCATTCAGCTAGAGGATTTATGCGCATCTTCACCCTGTATAAACAGAAGCTACCGGAATACATCTCCATACTTTCATCATATTATCCCTATGGCATCCTCTCAATCTAGAGGGATAGAAAAGCCTACCAAGCTGCTTTTATTGACTTTCTTTTTATGTCCCCCTGTTTACATAGCATGTATGTAAAACCACACACCACAGAGAAGAGCGTGCTCACTTTTATACTAAACTGGTGTTTGAGGGGATTCACTATCAAATGAGGGGCAGAAAATATAGGTGCTTATGGGCACCATTATAATTGTTCAACTCTGCAGCGTGAGGTCCATGTAAGATTAGCAGATACTTTACATCTAATTACAAGCAATTGTAGAAGAGCTGGTGTGGTCACAAAGGACCAGCAGAGCCACATAGCCCAAGTGTTCAGAGATTAAAGGGTTGGGATAGGTGAGGCAAAAGAGACTTCTCACAGGAACTAGCAAGCCCAGTGCTTGAAACAGATAATCTCTGAATACAGGGAATGCATTTAGACCTGACGGATTCCTATACATATTCCTAAAACCAGACAAAGCACCTCCCACCCCCAAAATCCATCTCTCCCAACTCCTGGGAATCTCTCAACACACAATCTATGCAGTGTAACCATCCTATTCTTGGCAAAAGCAGCCAAGAAGAAAGACAGCTTTCAGAACATCACCTTCCCCCAGATATACCTATGGACTAAGGAGATGTCTAAGAAGAACAACTAAAATCAGGAGACATCCCGTGGGGAGAGGGTAGTCACCAGACTTTGCATTCATGGTAAATTTACAAAATAATTTTTTTCATCACGAAAAAAGCCTGAAAATACAATAAAGCATGTAGTATTTTAAAAATGCCAAGGATGAACCTGAAAAGGATGTTTTGCTGAGAAACTAATCCAAATTTGTTTCTACGTTTAAGAATTACTGGAAAATAGACAAAATTTTATGTGGGATCAAATGTTTTCTTCAATTACCATCTTTTTGTTTTGCCAAATCAAACATTTTCAAAGGTTTTTCAGTCTCATCTCAACCAGCTACTTTTCAGGATGGCAACGAAACTGAAAAATAAAGCTCCAACAGCAAACAAGTCTGTAGCTCATACAGACCCTCCCCACTGTGTGAGCGAGCATCTAGAGGGGAAGGGCTGGGGACAGCAGGCAGCAGAGCAGCTCCTGGCCTGTTTGTGCTGCCCACAATTCCCATGCCATGTGCACAACCTGGGACTAGTTTGGCTGCACCACTCCCCTAAGCAAAGAGTGCATAAAGATGAAGTGGATTTTAGAGCCCCAAAGCGACAGCAAGTCACAGAGGGGAATTAGACTTCTGTGTTTTATAATCTCAGTGTTTCTATTCCAAGTTGCAATTCTTGTATATTTTACTGCAAGCTTAACCATAAATGTAGGTCACTTGCAGAGATGAAAGTCTCTGCTTCAAGTGTGAAACACTCCTTACAACAAAGAGATAAGGAACTCAGAACCAACAGTCTGTCCCAGAGAATTACAGTTGCTAACTGATAATTACCAGGTAAATTCAGACAAGGAATTATAAAAGATCTTATTAACATGGTATTAAGGAAAACTGTGATCCATCTGCTTCCAAGCACACCATGATTTCATTAATAACTCCACTGCTCTGTTTTTTAATCATAGATGCACATTAGGTAAGAGCAATTACAGCTCCTTCCTAACGGGGCACGTCTGCTGTATTCCCTTGCAGAGACAAAGATGACAATCTCCTGCACAGCTCACGTATCCATTACGTGATCTACAAACTTCCACTAAGACAGCTGAAGTCACAAACAGGAGGAACGTTCACCTTCTACTGAGAATACATCACGAAAAGTATGTCACAAGGGCCTGAGGGGAAAGCTCAGTGTTTGCATTGCACAGAGCAAGCCTGACTGGCAGCCGAGAGGGAGAACAAGGAGCTACCTACTCTCTCCTGCTTCAGAGAGCTATGAGATGGCAAATTTATATGATTAACCTTTTGTTCTGTTAATCAAACAAAAATGCCTCCAGCAAAGGAATAAGTAGGAGCCTGCTTAATTAGAAATACAGGGAACTACTCAGAAGTCGAGTGCCAATGTGTCAGAAGAGAAATTCTGGGCTAGTGAATTTGTGCCTGTTTCCTGTGTTTTCTATTGGTGGTATTAGTATTAGTATTACTATTGTTGTTGTTGTTATTTTAAACTACAACTAAATTATCTGTGTTGCTCTGGCTTTGCCTTCTTCCCCAGAGACACACTTTCACCAGCTATTACAGTACTGGCACGTTTTCTGCAAAGGATATTCACCAGACATCTGGGTTGGGATACTCAGCTTGATCCAAAGCTGATCATCAAGATGAGCACTCATTTTCCAAAACAACCCATTTACTTGAACACATTTCCTGTGCTCCTGTGCTTCATATTTGGTTACAAATTAACCTTCAGGGATAAACACACCCAAGAAGAGTTAAAACACAAAAAAAGCATCATTTTATCTGTTATATGTATGGGGCATTCATAAATTACACTTTACAGAGGGCTCACACATGTTTTGTAGGTATTATTTGGGTATGTTTGCTTTTTCCCCTTCAACATTTAAGCCTGTTTTTTAAGGTCTGTGATACTGGGCTTGTCAGAATTTATCTGCTTCATTTAACACTAACATCTAGTAACTCAGAATAGTGAATTGTGTATTTATATTCTCTAAAAATAAGACTACAGAAACAATAAACTTTCAAGTAAAGCCTTTGGGGTTAGGTAAAAAGTAATAATCAACCTCTCCCTCCCTCCCCAGCAATGCACACAGAGAGCGAAAACACCTGAACCTGCATACCCATGAAGAACAAAAGCAGAGAACTAGTTCAACACTCCAGGTGGTAGAACTGTCAAGGATCAATCTAAGACTTACATAAGATAGAGGTTGCTAGAGTGAATCACAAATTATTTTAAGAAATCCCAAAAGGCATACAAATCCACAGAAAAATGACTAAACTTACATGCAAAACTTTCTTGAATGTTCTCTAAGACTCAGTAGTGTCCCCACATTACTTTCTCATTCAGTCTTCTCTCATTCTAGCCATAAACCCAGTGCTCACTCCAGAGTTCAGTCTAATGGACACTGGTTTGCAAGCTCAGAAAGCTCTGTCTTCCCTTTGTGCTCTCCTGTCACTCAACCATGTGTTTTTAAAATGAGAGACCTCTAGTGTCTTCATGTGCTAGAGATCTCCCTGCTGTACAACTCAGTGCCTGCCAGTAAGCAGGGCAGAATCAGGTTTTGCACTTTGCCCTTTTATCTGTGGTATTCCTTCTTAAAGGAGAAATATGGAGATTAGCAAACTACCATTCTCCCCATTCCTATTGCATCTTCCCAGTTGAGGTCTGGAAGATACACACCACTTGCATGTTAGAAAGTTCGGTATTCCCTTAGCAATGCTAAAAGATGGGAAGATTATAAAAGTTGTCAGAATTCAAAATGTTTCCATATATTAATTTTCCAAGTTGTCATACTTAGTAAACCCTAAGTGATTGTCATCCAAAATGAACCGATCAAACTATCATATCACTTTGTTAGGATATATCAAGTCATATTACGTTTAACTGTAGCCTCTTTTCATTTTACACGTGAAAAGTGGTTAGCCTCTTTTCCTGTGTAAAAGAAATTGGTCCATTATATCATGAACAGTATTAACAAATAAACAGTAAAAGGACATTTGCTTTTTGTAGACTATTATAGTGTAGTGGAAACACTAGAAGTTTCCATCCACTCATGAGGTGAGCAATGATGTAACTCTTATTATTCCATATACTTAGTCTTGAACAACATCGGTATGAGTTCTAAATCAGGCCTAATGAATCATAGACATGATGAAACAGAAGGTACCTACCTAGCAGCATGTGATTTCAGAGTATATATATTCAAAGAACTATCTGCACATCTGTTTCTTGTTTCATATGAACTGTATATTATTTCAATGCATCACAATTATTTGTATGAAGCAAAAGTAGTGTTTTATACATCTAGGTGCATATAGATGGGTAATCCAGATTACTTGAAAAGAATAAATGTATCCCCCAAAATTAAAAAACATCATAAAACATTATTGCACGCTTACGTTGCATTAAAAGTTATTCAGCTGAGATTCATGGTTTTTTACTCATTACTACTTCTTGATCATGCAACAGAACTCCAGGAATACCAGAAATACTGATCATAATTATAATTCATAAAAT